TTAATTAAGCGGGTACCTTGAAGAAACATAAGTTTGAGTTTCGAATAATACTGATTTCGTTGTTGTCTTAGGTGACATCGGGGAAAAAAAATTTAGGTGCTCAGGCATGAAGATGTGCTGCTCAAACACTATACTTTTCTGCTCACACTGAAAAAAAATTAGAGGGAACATTGCTACACGTATTGCCTAAAGCGGGAGTGTCAAACTTGCATTGTCATGGCATCATCATGTGATATATTGTGTATCAGGGATCCAAGTAACACCCCTAATGAAAGAAGACTCCGAGGCGTGAGTTTCCGCAGTTTCATTTTATTAGAGGTGTCATATTGGCACATCTGGGAAAACCCGAATCTGAAAGTTTCCAGGTTTTCCCCGCCCAAAAGAAAGGTCAGGTTCCTGCCCAGCACCCACATGTCCATCACATGGCCCAATCAGGCCAAACCAAACAGGAAATGCCTCCCAATCACTTCATCACAGCTGCACGGCCAGATGACCTTGACTTTCTGAGAAAGAATGTTATTATAGCTATATAATCACCCACGCTCTGTATAATCCCCCCTCCCATTTTCCCACAGTAGAAAATGTGGCAGGCCTGAAGCCCCAAAGATAAAAGATGGCTTTCAGGTTTGACATTGTGACTTTTTCCCCTTCGCTAAACGGGTGTGGGTGTGGTCAGTGTGTGACGCATCCAGCCTGAAGGCCACAAATTTGACAGCCCTGGCATAAAGTTTTCTTTCAATCTGATTTAATATGTAAAATTATATTTTCACTGCGGCACTAGCTCAACTGGGATCTTGTATCTGCCTCTGAAGATACAGACTTCGTTCTTTCTTACATAATTCCTCCCAGTTAACAGAGGAGATTTTTAGTGTGCTTAGCTGGAATCTGGCAGACTTTAAAACCTTCACTCTAAATATGAATATATTCATATTTAATCTGCCTTTTCTGCTAATATGAAATTTTACAAGTGTGCTAGTAATGTATAACACAATGTCTTCCTCAAACTAAGCTCACTCTGACTTTACAGAGACATCCAAGTAGCAAAAATACAAGATAAAAGAAACAGAAATAAAATGTTTGGCATCATGAAAGGCTTTTTGGATACTTTCTCCTGTTTTAAACTGCATCTAAAATTCAAGAGATGGCACTAAGGGAGTGCACAGCATTGAATTCAAAGGGGGAAAAGGCACTTTGGAGCATTCACGTAGCATATCTTGGCAACTTTTAAAATAGATGCAGCTTTTACTGGAATCATGTCGGTGTTTTTGTGGCTACAGTATAATCCCAGCAGTTTAAGGAGTTGCTGCCAGATGCTACATGAGAACCCCTGCATGCTCTGCAGTATCTTTTTCTCCTTTGAATTCAGTTTGTGTACTTCCAGAAAAAATTGTCTCTCTGGATGCAGCTGCCATTCCTTATAAAGTTTTCACAGTTCACATGCATGTTAAATTGTGTTGTCAACAATTTGCTGTTATGTTGACCCTTCACAGAACAAAAAAGATTATTGACTGTAAGGACTATGGAAATGAATGAGACAGCCCCAACTAAGGTGCTATAAAACAACAATGCACCAAAACTATTACAGATAGTCCTCGATTTATTCACGAACTATTCATTTAGTGTTCAGGTTACAATCAAGAAAAGCAACTTATAATTGGTCCTTACAGTTATGATTGTTGCATCATCACATAATCAAAATTCAAGTGCTTGGCATGTATTTACAATTGTTCAAGTGTCCTGGGTTCACTGGATTGGCATTTGTGACTTTCCTAGCCAGGTTTTGGCAAACGAAGTCTAAGGGGGAAAGCAGACTTACTAACAACCATGTGGTTTGTTTAACAACCCTAGTGATCTGCTTAACAACTCCAACATAAAGATTGCAATATTGGGTGTGACTCACTTACCACCTCACTTAGGGGAAGAGGTTCCATTGCCAATTGTGGTCATAAGTCAAAGACTACCTGTATATGTTTGGCTTGACTCTACAGTTTGACAATATGTATATATATATATACTCCTTACCTGCAGAATAGCAAGGCCCGGCCTGAAACCAGGAGCTTTTGCTTTCATTTCTGCAACTTGGTTCTTCAGTCGTTCCCTTACTTGGCTAGAAAGAACAGGCAGGAAAGAGAAAGTAAACAATTAATAATTAATAGTAGATTAATTGGAAGTGGGATCTAGTTCCAAAGATAACCCCAAGATTTAAATTTGCACCATTTAGTTTTCCCGTTTTTAATCCCCAATTCCACAAATGTGGAAGACTGTGCTGCTGACCAGAATGAAGAAAGGGGAAGAAATCCATCGACTAGTAAAGATGATTGAACAACTTTCTTTTCTTTGCTCATAAAATGTCATGAAACCCCACTCATCAATGGTGTGAGTCAACAGTGCAGTTGTGAAGGTATGCAGTTGCCTAAAATTAGGTGAAGTCTAACAAGGAAAATTATTAAAGGCAGTTTTTAAAACTGATGTGTTTAGTGGCCAACTGACAAATGACAAAGGAGAATATTTGTAGCTCAGGGTTGAAATGAGGATGTTTCATTACCCAATGTGGGTAACATCATCATTGCTAGTAAGGAGTGGGGTTTGTCAAGAGAGACAATTAACAAGCCAAAAAGGGAACACAACCTCCCCACCTACAATCAGCACCCAGATGAGCATAGATCAACTTCAGGATTAACATCAATCAAGTAAACAATACCCCAATCAAGGAACTGCCAAACAAGCCAACAGCAAACAACAGCAAAAAGAATCTTTAAGACCACCCTCACCAACTCTGCCAGACAAGCCAGTAGACTGTAAACTGAGAGCAAACTCCACTCCTTACTAGCACTGATGATGTTACCTAGTTTGGCTAATGAAACATCTGCAAGGAAAAAAACCAAGCTCAGAGAGCACCAAGGACCCTTCATGAACAATGTATGAACTGGATCTGAGACAGTTTCACAAGAAACATCAACAAAATATTACTGTCACTATTTATGATTGCAATATATGTCTCTTGATTTTACAAAATTACATATTATCCTATGGGGAAAATAACAGAATAACAGAGTTGGAAGGGACCTTGGAGGTCTTCTAGTCCAACCCCTGCTTAGGCAGGAAACCCTACACCACTTCAGAGAAATGGATATCCAACATCTTCTTAAAGACTTCCAATGTTGGAGCATTCACAACTTCTGGAGGCAAGCTGTTCCACTGATTAATTGTTTTAATGGTCAGGAAATTTCTTCTTAATTCTAAGTTGCTTTTTTCCTTGATTACTTCCCACCCATTGCTTCTTGTTCTGCCCTCAGTTTGCTTTGGAGAATAGCTTGACCGTCTCTTCTCTGAGATATTGGAACACTGCTATCATGCTATCTCCTCTAGTCCTTCTTTTCATTAAACTAGACATACCCAGTTCCTGCAGCCATTCTTCATAAGTTTTAGTCTCCAGTCCCCTAATCATCTTTGTTGTTCTTGTCTGCACTCTTTCTAGAGTCTGCACATCTTTTTTACATCATGGCACCCAAAACTGGATGCAGTCTTCCAAATGTGGCCTTACCGAGGCATTATAAAGTGGTATTAGCACTTCACGTGATCTTGATTCTATCCCTCTGTTTATGCAGCCTAGAACTGTGTTGGCTTTTTTGGCAGCTGCTGCACACTGCTGGCTCATATTTAAATGGTTGTCCACTAGGACTCCAAGATCCCTTTCACAGTTACTACTGTTGAGCAAGGTACCACCTATACTGTATCTTTGCATTTCGTTTTTCTTGTCTAAATGTAGAGCCTTACTTTTTTCACCATTGAATTTCATTTTGTTATATAGTGCCCTATATTCAAGTCTGTCTGCCATGTTATGCCTATCTTCCGGAGTATTGGCTATTCCTGCTGGCTTGGTATCATCTGCAAATGAGTTCCCCATCTATCCCTGAAACAGAGCCTTGGGGTACTCCACTGCATGCTTCCCTCCATGTACAATAGATGCAGTTCCATTGAGGACTACACAATGAGTGCAGTTCCATTGAGGAATACACATTGAGTGTGGTTGGTTAGCCAGTTACGAATCCATTTGGACCCACATTTTTCTATTTTATCTAGTAGTAGGTTATGGTCTACTTTATCAAATGCCTTACTGAAGTCCAAGTAAATTATATTGATAACATTCCTCTGGTCCACTAATTTTGTCACTTTGTAATGCAATGCAATAACTGACAGACCCAAATGAGTTTTAAACTTTTAACAACAACTGGGGTTTGAGTCTCTGCCTTACAGGACTGGTTTCACACGCCAACCATCAATATTTTTCTTGTACAAAACATTATGCAACAGTATTTCTTACGTTTAATTATTAGGTGGAAATATTTAGTTTAGAGCAGGAGTGGGCAATTGATTTTCCCATGAAAAACTGGGATTGTTGTAGAGGTCAAACCTATATGCTGAACTTAATTCTGCTCAATATTAATTTTATTGCTTTATAAAAAATTGCAAACTATATGGTTTTTATTACCTGCTACTGGTAAGAATAAATGTTATATCTTATTCTAATTTCTGATTGCCCTCCAACAAGATGCACAGGGACAGCCAAAGGGCCAGGCAGCCAAAGGGCCAGGGGCTGTAAAATACCCAGGTCTGGTTTAGAGAAAAGTCAAATTAAAGAAGAAAATGAAACTGACAAACCAGTTGCTACTATACATCATTTACTCCCATACACTCTACTCCAGTAAAATTAACACCTTTCAGTGCCATCTGGTGAACCCAGAGTGCAACTGCAAATAACATTTTTTTTCCCCTTAACATTCTTTGAAAGACCAGTAGAACTTAATAATTATCTGCTACAGACATTGCATTAAGCCAGGTTCTGCTTAACCATTATTTTTCCCTGAGCTAGAATTGGCTGAGTTTATTTGTGGTGCAAAATCATAAACCATGTTTTGCAAAATACAAATCTAATATCTAATATCAACCCTCTCCCCAAACCACTTTGTATACAACAAAAGAAACAAGTTACTATTTAATTAAATAGCTGTCAAGGTGTGAGAAAGCAGCTTTCCAAATATCATAAAATGTTACTAGCAGGGATTCGAAAAAGAGGTCTGAGATGTTTGATGCTGCTTAAACAAGGCCTATGTCAGAGTTCACCCAAGTACAATGATAAGCCAACTCTGCATTCGTAAAGTTGCATCCTGCACTCAAAAGCAGAAATTTCAGAGACTTGACATACTAAAGGAAGCTGTGTAATTAGTCCCAAAAGAAATCATGTTTATACATAGATTTGCCTGCTCAAGAACACAAAAATTAAACCCAATATGGACGATTGGATTGAACTCCTTATACTTTTCCTCTTCATCCTTTGGAGTCAATGGACTTTTGGCCATTCTTTTCTCAGCTTTGAGAGTGAGAAGCAGCAGTTCAGAGCTCACACAGTAGATCTCTTTGAGTCTTGATCTTTCCACATGATACTCTTTTAGTGATTTTTTTTTCTATTAGCTAAATTTATCTAATTTCCTCACTTTTTCCTGGAAGGATTTGATTTCTAGTTATCTTTGTCTTACTGTGGTATTTTCTTACTTTTCACTGTTGAAACTAAAAATTAAGTGTGTGTACACGTACACACACAAACACACACAAACACACACACAGAAAGAGAGAGAGAGAGAGAGAGAGAGAGAGAGAGAGAGAGAGAGAGAGAGAGAGAATCAACTGACAAGAGGGAGTGATTTTGGATGAATCAAAAGAAGGTATTTTACCCATGATCTCCTTAAACATTTCCTAATATTACAAATACTTGTTTTTCAAGGTAACATTTGAGATAGCCCTGTAAGAAATTAACATCTCTGTTGGCTTTAATTTCACAATATTTAGTTTATTGATTATGTGTCATCAAACCAGTTTCAACTCTTACTGACCAAATAGATTTAGTAATTTCCACTGGATAAAAGAGCTGAGTAGCATGGACATCTGTTTTATCAGTTAATATTTCACCAAATCCCACTCCATGAATTCCATCACATCCATTTCAGCTTGCTAAGAGCTAATTCCCAGCTACTTCTAATATTGGTAGTCCACAACTCACAACTGTTCATTTAGTGATTGTTGAAAGCTACACAGCACTGAGAAAAGTGACTTATGACCATTTTTCACACCTACGACCATTGCAGGATCCCCATGATCACGTGATCAAAGTTTGAATGTTTGGCAACTGGTTCATATTTACAACAGTTGTGGTGTCCCAGAGTCACATGATCACCTTTTGCGACCTTCTAACAAGCAAAGTCAATGGGGAGGCCAGATTCACTTAACAAACACGTTACTCACAACTGCAGTGATTCATTTAACAGCCATGGCAAGAAAGGTGGTAAAGTGGGGCAAAACTCACTTAACAAATGTCTTGTCAGCAGAAAGTTTGGGCTTCATTGTGGTCATAGGTCGAGGATCATAAAATAGTTTTTGTTACCCAAATGTTTTTTCCCCCTCATATGTACTAAATAGCAACAATTCTGTTACTGCCTTCTGCTTCATAAATGTAAAGCGATTTTAAAATGAAGTCCTAAGGGCCTGATGAAATTAATTTGCCAATCAAGCAAATTAATTTAACATCCCTAATTTATGTTCCCAAATGAACAGAAAGGGAAAGAGTATGAGATTTTTGCCACAGAATCCCTGTAAGTGGCAAATAAAAAACTGTTTAGTTATTTAAATATGTAGACTTTAGTTTAAGAAGTCCAGATTCACAATGAAATAAATGTAGTTAATGCCATTTTGCCCAATGGGTTTATTACATCTTAAACTCCTAATTTAAATAATTTATTACACTGCAATTATTATTCTTTTCTTCTTATAAGAATATTAACGAGTTCAGTGATGGGATTCACACACCGCAGTAAGCCACAATAGGTTAGTTTAATTTCAGTTTAGCAAATTGTTTGAACATAGCCAATATGATTGATGAAGAGGGGACCCCAAAACTTTCTGACCACTGGACACTTTTAGAATTTTGAATTCTCTTCCAAATAATTGCTGAGCATCTTGCATGGTTTTCCTGAGGCATCTAATAAGTTAAAAATGAGAAATTAACAATTCTAGCTGCCATTCTCTCCAGTTCTCCTCTTTTAGGATAATCCC